AGGCACCTGATGATGATGATATAAAATGTTACAGATACATTTTACAAATTATTTAGAACACAAAACTTAGGTACCCAGGTTCAAATCCTTGAACAGATTGTGGATTTGTTCTTCCGGGTTCAAAAAAATCAATTCTAACCTGCACAGTCCGTGGCAACAGCACTAGCCGTACGATTTTAAATCCTCGGGCTCAAAGACCTCCCTGCCTACACGTAAAAGTGACATATTTTAAAACACACACACATAAGTGACTACTGCTAGTACCTGTTGCCTCACACTGCCTATAACTTAGAACAGTGATTCTCAAACTGCGCCCTGGGGAGCCGCAACCTCTTCACAAGAGCGCCGCAAAATATTGTAAAAGCTTTATAATTAATTTAACCAAGACATGAATAGTTACACTTTTACTTAGGTTAGGGCGCCGTGAAAAAAATCTGAATTGAGAAAAGGTGCCGCGACCAAGCAAAGTTTAGGAAACACTGTCCTAGAAGTCAACGAACACCGAACCCAGCTCTGCAGTCTCCTATATAAATAATCGCAGGTTCTGGTGCGACTAGAATATCTATGTAAATGTCTGAGATGCGGTCAAGGGTTCATTAACTCACACGCAACAGTGAAGTTGTGCTCTTGAGGGTTCTAGGCTCTTATTTAGGGGCAACTATTTGTTTCCACACTTCCCTGTGGATTTGCTGAAGTATGATGTGTTGAGGCGAAAGGTGCAGATAACACAGCCTAGCTGTAAACCACAAAATAGTGTGCCATAGCCCTTCTAAGGTGAAATTCAGAAAAAGAAGTGTTGATTTTTTGCCAATGAAGATTTGTACTCAACAAGCCAAGGTGTTTATGCAATTTGAAGCAATATTAAAAGTAGTCAGGAGATGTGAACCAGCGTCATTACACACGGTTATAAACCGTAAGTGCTCTGCCACCAGTACGGACAGCTGATAAGAAACTGTTGGCCTGTATCGCCGTCCGTACGCAACTCCGTAGCTACAGCGACATTCCTCTATTTACCCCAGAGTGTCAACTCTGGTACCTTTTACCTAGAGGCTAGGTGAACCCCAGGAACCCGGTTTCAAACACCAGCCGTGGGCTGCAGCGAGTTGCAGCTGGATTTGAAACAGTGTGTAATATACTACAGTGATACATAAAGAGCAAAGAAAAGACGCAGGCATTGGATAGGGCACGTGTTGAGAACCCCTAAGAATATAACCAGAAGTGATTTATACTGGAAGCCACAGAAATCAAGACAGACCATGAAACACATGGATAACGGAGCTAGAGGGTGAATTTAAAATGGTGGGGAGGGTATGGGTGTGCTGCATGTGACAGCAAAGGATATCTCCATTGGGGGAGAAAATGTTAGAAAAGAAAGGTCAAAACCCAATGCAATGACAACCAGAAACATCAACCACAAATATAACCAAGCGGCACTGGACAAAGTCTGAATGTGGTCATTGGAAACATATTACTACTACTGCTAAAGTGACACACAGATGTTATACTGTTTGATAACTGCAAATAATATCATAGTAGTGACGTCATAGCACTCAGGACAAACCTATAGGTGCTCAGTCCACCTCAGCATTACATTCAGGCTAATGACCCATGTAACGCCTGATAACACATGAATGTATCACCTCACGTATATTAATTGAGTTCAAATCCCTGCTAGAATTTAAATCACTCAGAACACACATATATTCTAGGGTTTCAGCAGTATAACTCATTTTAATCTCTTCCTTCTGTCCTTTATCCCCCCCAACGGAGCATAGGCCCTCAGACAGAAGTCATCTGTCGTCTGCTCTTACTCACTATGCCATCACAGCTTTTCCTAATAAAAACATACCCAAAAAATTTGTGGAAAAATACCATCCTGCTCCCTTTAGAAAAAACAAAAGTAATCCACAAAGAAATATGAAGTAAAATAAAGGACGCTTTGCCATGCCTTTCAGGCGTACTGGGTATATCGGGCTAGGTCTATATTTAATACACCAAACGGCACTTGGTGGGTGATGTGGTTAGCATGACACCGGCCACCTTTACTACCCAGGACTGCACCTGGTACCCACTCAAGGCTGAGAGCCAAGGTCATTTTTGAAAAAAAAAAAACGTCAGACCCTCGTCAGGATTCGAACCCATGACCTTCTGATCCACAGGCCAGTGTCTAGCCGCTAGTCCACGGCAGCTCCCACAAAGAAATTTGAGCCCTCTAATAAAAATTAAAGTGTGAACAATGGATTTGATTACAGCAAATGCACATCAATAAACCAAATGAGCTCACATTACATCAAACAAGCGAAAGAAAATGACAAGAACTGCAACAGATCACCGCTAGTCCTGGTTTCCGGTCACTGCAAACAAGGAGATGGGGAACTAGGCGGATTCCCCTCCCATGTGGGTTCTGTGGCTCCATTTGGGGGAGGGGGGGGGGGGGGGGGGGGGGTTCAAGACCCAGTGCTCCTTTAAGCAATTCATATCCTATAAGGCAACTAGTTAGGGAGGTTTCCTTCCGAGTCGGAGCATATTTGCCTGAGAGACAAGGAACAGACCATCTTCAAACCATGAGTTGTAAACCCTTTGGCTCGGTACTATGGATATCGCAACCCTTCGGCCATGATTTCATGATAAATACTGTAAATCTATGAAAAATGTGGCTTTTCTGCCTACCACCGGGCGTGAACTCGGACCACAAGGACTTCATCACCCAGTCGCCACGAAGTCAGGTTGAACCAACTGCGCTTGGGAGCCGGGCTACAGATTTGTAAAAGAGATGTGCACATAAAACTCAAGCTGCGGAACAAGACTAAAGCCAAGAAGTAGGTGAATGACCAGAACTTTCCGCCAGAAATTACAGCTCGTGATGCTACGAAGAAGATGATGAGGCAGGTTACCAAACCTGGCATTGTAGCAATAATTAAATGACGGGACGGCTGGACCCCAAGTGGCAAGAACAAACTGAGTAAATGGGATGTCAGCCTCCATTTACTATCATCATCATGTGCCCTGTCAACCGGCGTAGGGGCTCCTGCGTCTCCACAGATCACGATCCCTGGTTGCCCGGAACAGCTCTTAACTAATAATATTCCCCCCTAAATACATTGAACCCACCTCAATGTGTGAGACACACATGTGTCGTATGTATTTATGAATGAATGTAGGCGTTCGAATGTATGTGAGTATATGTATTTGTGTGTATGTACATGTGTACATATGTGTTTATATATGTATGTACACCCGGCTCTCTAGCGTAGTTGGTTAAACCTGACTTTCGCGGCGGCCGGGTGACGAACTCCTTGTGGTCCGGGTTCACTCCCGGGGGGAGGCAGAAAGGCCCCATTTCTCCCAGATTAACGGTACCTATAATGGAATCAAGGCCAAGGGGTTGTGATATCCATATTACCGAGCCAAAGGGTTTACAACTCATGGTTTCTGGATACTTTAAAAAAAAAATGTTTGTCAGCCAATGTGTATGTGCACTGTTTTTTTACGCGTGCATTTTCCATCCATGCTTTTGTGTATTTTACTCGATAGTTATTTTATGTATACTGTCATATGAACATAACACGCTTTATTGATAAATAAAGAATAATTGCCGTGTGAAAGGTGAGTGTTGGAAAGGGCAATCGTAAGACAGGCCTGCGGGCCCAATGTATGACGCTTAAGAAAATTTAGTCAATTTGATAAAAAATACCCCATTATGTCCCAACCCTCATTACATCTTCTCAACACCCCATTATGTCCCAACCCTCATTACATCTCACATCTCAACCATCATTATGTCCCAACCCTCATTACATCTCACATCTCAACACCCCATTATGTCCCAACCCTCATTACATCTCACATCTCAACACACCATAATGTCCCAAGCCTCATTACATCTCACCACGCCATTATGTCCCAACCCTCATTACATCTTACCACGCCATTATGTGCCAACCCTCATTACATCTCACATCTCAACACGCTATTATGTCCCAACCCTCATTACATCTCATTACATCTCCTCAACACCCTATTATGTCCCATCCCTTATTACATATCACATCTCAACAACCAATTATGTCCCAACCCTTATTACATCTCATCACCCCATTATGTCCCATCCCTTATTACATCTCATCACATCTCAACACCCCATTATGTCCCATCCCTTATTACATCTCATCACCCCATCCCTTATTACATCTCATCACATCTCAACACCCCATTATGTCCCATCCCTTATTACATCTCATAACATCTCAACAACCCATTATGTCCCACCAACTACAATAAACCACATAACATACAATACATAACATAACCCGTATACCCCAGACTACCCTTTTACATCATGCCATATCAAAATTATAAACACTGGAATTTTCTGCGACACAGAACCCAACTGTCAACATCATTCAAACATGTGTGCCCCAAATGATAGGAAATTGGGCGTCCCATGAGTTTGCATACATAAGAAAAATTAAACATTTCATTAACGCCGCTATAAGCCTAATTTAAGATGGATTTTAATGTGTTCTACACACATTTAAATGTCTTTTCAAAACAATCGTAGTCATGTAAAGTATATTATATAAATGGTTTTCATAGAGCGAAGGATTCTTGTCCACGTCTTCAGGCGTACTGTGCATATAGGGCTAGACCTATATTTTATAGCCCAATCGGCACTTGGTTGGCGATATGGTCAGCATCAAGCCTTTACTTCCCAGGACTTCACCTGGTACCCATTTAAGGCTGGGTCTGGCTACCAAGCTCATTTTTTTTTTTTTATCCGGCTCCGTCACCTGAACCCACGACCTTCGGATCCGCAGGCGAGTCTCTAGCCACTACACCAAAGGCAACTCCCAGTTTTTGTAAACAATGTTATTTTTTTTTTGTATGTATGGAGACTAATAGGACACCCTTGACTGTTTAAATGCATAAATATTTGAGAACTTTCTCCTGTGGAAGGCAGCTTGGACATTTTCTTGTCTGACGAACTAGTGGTCACGACATCACTCCAACACTACGATGACATCTCCTTCATTGACCGTGTCGCCCATTTTATAGTTGACCTTTTTCACCTGTGGAATATAAAACAAGGAGTTACAAGAAAATCCTTCAACAGCAGGAGGGTAGTTCCCCGTGTGGGTTCTGGGACCCCATTGTGTGGAAAACAAGAATACACCCACTGCCTCCCCAGCAAGCAAGTCATAAGAGTGGACTAACTGGGGGTTTCCTTCGGAAGCCGGAGTGCATCTGCCTGAGAGACAAGAACCAAGAGTCTACATATAAATAAGCCAGATCTGTAAAACAATGTGCACGCAAAAAGTTGTAGATCAAGAACGAAGTTCAGAAGTGGATGAAAAAACAGAACTTTTCGCTGTGGTTTATAGCTGGTGAACGCAAAGAAGAATCACCGACAGGAAGACAGGGATTTGTTTGAAGTTTCCAGACCGACCCAGACTGAAGATAGTGGTGTTGCTTCCAGTACCATGTCTGTCTGTGACTTGAGCAATCTACTGCATATATACCGTGATGTCTTGGTTGTGTTGCTTCCAGTACCATGTCTGTCTATGACTTGAGCAATCTACTGCATATATACCGTGATGTCTTGGTGGTGTTGCTTCCAGTACCATGTCTGTCTGTGACTTGAGCAATCTACTGCATATATACCGTGATGTCTTGGTGGTGTTGCTTCCAGTACCATGTCTGTCTGTGACTTGAGCAATCTACTGCATATATACCGTGATGTCTTGGTGGTGTTGCTTCCAGTACCATGTCTGTCTCCAACTTGAGCAATCTACTGCATATACCATGATGTCTTGGTGGTGTTGCTTCCAGTACCATGTCTGTCTGTGACTTGAGCAATCTACTGCATATACAGTGATGTCTTGGTGGTGTTGCTTCCAGTACCATGTCTGTCTGTGACTTGAGCAATCTACTGCATATACAGTGATGTCTTGGTGGTGTTGCTTCCAGTACCATGTCTGTCTGTGACTTGAGCAATCTACTGCATATACAGTGATGTCTTGGTGGTGTTGCTTCCAGTACCATGTCTGTCTGTGACTTGAGCAATCTACTGCATATACAGTGATGTCTTGGTGGTGTTGCTTCCAGTACCATGTCTGTCTGTGACTTGAGCAATCTACTGCATATATACCGTGATGTCTTGGTGGTGTTGCTTCCAGTACCATGTCTGTCTGTGACTTGAGCAATCTACTGCATATACAGTGATGTCTTGGTGGTGTTGCTTCCAGTACCATGCCTGTCTGTGACTTGAGCAATCTACTGCATATACAGTGATGTCTTGGTGGTGTTGCTTCCAGTACCATGCCTGTCTGTGACTTGAGCAATCTACTGCATATATACAGTGATGTCTTGGTGGTGTTGCTTCCAGTACCATGTCTGTCTGTGACTTGAGCAATCTACTGCATATATACCGTGATGTCTAAGTGGTGTTGCTTTCAGTACCATGCCTGTCTGTGACTTGAGCAATCTACTGCATATATACCGTGATGTCTTGGTGGTGTTGCTTCCAGTACCATGTCTGTCTGTGACTTGAGCAATCTACTGCATATATACCGTGATGTCTTGGTGGTGTTGCTTCCAGTACCATGTCTGTCTGTGACTTGAGCAATCTACTGCATATATACCGTGATGTCTTGGTGGTGTTGCTTCCAGTACCATGTCTGTCTGTGACTTGAGCAATCTACTGCATATATACCGTGATGTCTTGGTGGTGTTGCTTCCAGTACCATGTCTGTCTGTGACTTGAGCAATCTACTGCATATACAGTGATGTCTTGGTAGTGTTGCTTTCAGTACCATGTCTGTCTGTGACTTGAGCAATCTACTGCATATATACCGTGATGTCTTGGTAGTGTTGCTTCCAGTACCATGCCTGTCTGTGACTTGAGCAATCTACTGCATATACAGTGATGTCTTGGTGGTGTTGCTTCCAGTACCATGTCTGTCTGTGACTTGAGCAATCTACTGCATATACAGTGATGTCTTGGTGGTGTTGCTTCCAGTACCATGTCTGTCTGTGACTTGAGCAATCTACTGCATATATACCATGATGTCTTTGTGGTGTTGCTTCCAGTACCATGTCTGTCTGTGACTTGAGCAATCTACTGCATATATACCATGATGTCTTGGTGGTGTTGCTTCCAGTATCATGTCTGTCTGTGACTTGAGCAATCTACTGCATATATACCATGATGTCTTGGTGGTGTTGCTTTCAGTACCTTGCCTGTCTGTGACTTGAGCAATCTACTGTATATACAGTGATGAACACCTACAGTCACAAACAAATTGCTTTGGCTCATGAACCTACAAACATGACTTCTGCGCCACATTTTCGGCTCGCAAACAGCATAAACCTTGGCTCTCAAGTTGACCCAGCCTTGAGTGGGTACCAGGTGCAGTTCTGGGAAGTAAAGGCGGCCGGCGTGATGCTGACTACATCATCCATCCAGTGCCAATGGGTCTATAAAATATAGGTTTACCTCTGAAGGCCCTATACGCCTGAAGGAGTGGACAAGGGTCCTTTACTTTTTGTTTTTTTTTAACTTTTTATCAGAAGAACGAACGAACGAACTTTATTTTCAAAGGGTTACAAATTAGGCACGCAGGCCTGTCTTACATTCGGCCCGTCCAAACTTCCATCTTTCACACAGCAGTTGTATTTCATCAATGAAGCAAGCATGTTATATTCATGTATTGATATGCATATTATGGATATGAAGTCAAAAACAAAAGCATAGGTGGTAAAATATGTGCGCACGCTCACGCGCGAACACACACACACACATACACACACAAGCCCAATCACTCATTTACACACAAACACATAGGCACCCAGTACACACATACATCCACATACATACGAACATGCACACACATGCATACATACATCAGGAGGTTGTGGCTAAACAATACAACCAATACCATATAGCATAAACTTCATAAGGTTATTGAAGAGAATGACATAAACTGACCTTGCCAATCTTGGCACTGACCAGACTGTTCTGCATCTTCATGGCCTCCAGTACGCAGACCTCCTGGTGTTCAGCCACCTGTGGTAGAATAGAGCAGGTATAATGGGCATGAGAGTTCAGATCCAAGCTTGAAGGCAAGAGGATCAACTTAACTGCACCAGGTTCGATTCTTCTTTTTGTTCATCCAAGTGATATCTGCACATTTCAGCCGACACATCTGACTTCATGTTGACGGGTTTTTCTTTGGTTTCGTACGCTCAGTTTGAAATTTGAACAATGGATCAACATCATGGCACACGGGCAGTAACCCATTAGTGCCCTGTTCTCTCTTTTAACTCAAGTCTGAGTCCGAAAAATCTCAGCACAGTGCACATGCTCTGTAGCACCAGCGAGGATCCTGAAATACTTTGGGTAGATTTTTAACTCACAATTTTGCCAGGGCAGCGCCGTTTGGCTACCCTTTTCAATTTGCAACTGCTAAGGGATTTTTTACATGCCCAACAATGCACACGGGTGTCCGATCTCACTACTCAGAGACCAGGGGAAATACTAGAAGTCCGAGTCTATGTGAAAAAATCTCAGCTCTTACTGGGGATTGAACCCGGAACCTCTAGCACTCGAGGTGGACACCATGCCTCGAGACCACGCAGCCCCATTGTAAGCTGAGATGAGTCCATCAGGGGGGTTGCCTCTATGAACTCACATGTCAGCAGCAGGTCCTTCATGGTTCCCCATAGCCTTGTTCTGCACACTTTGCTCTTGAGGCCAAACCAGGTTAACTCACCGGAGAGTTTTGTGGGACAGGGACATCATTTGGCCTTATCTGTGTGGTGTTCTCTTTGTCCCCTTATCTACAGGGGTTGCCCCTGGAGAACCCGTCCAGGGCAACCGTTTGAAGTCTGGTAAGACCTCAAGGGAAGCCAGTGGCAGATCATGGGCATTCCCTGCCATCCAAGGAGGCTTCTATAAATACAGAGCCGAACCTTCTTCCTCTTCTTCTTTCTTTTGTCATCTCAGCAATACCAGGTTGTAGCCCATTGCTGCAGTTTTCTGAATTTGTCTTGTGCTTCTCGGGTAATTTGGTGATCTTTTTCATCTTTTTCCAGTATCAGCTCCACCATTTACCCAAGTCTTTCTTGGTCTTCCCCTCGCCTTCCTCCCAGATGTTCTGCTGTAAAAAAGTCTCATGTAGTTTGGTCTGAGTGCATTCTCACTCGGTGGCCGAACCATTTCATTCTGTGTCTGTCACGGTTATATTTTACCTTTCTCTCTAATCTGGTCTGGTAGTCTGGTAGTCTTAGTTTCAGCTTCATGGCAAACGGGTTGCCCCATCTTTGCTCCGCTCCTGTGCCAGCGAAAAACACTCAGAATGTCTATCACAGTCCCTTGTGGAAAGATTGACGGACTGCTGTCTCAGCATATCTAGCATACACTCGCATTAAAGCATATAGTAGCCATTTCTCTAATGCTGGTATTCATAATCCTGTCTCTTCTTGTGTTGTTAGTGACCTTGCGGAGACAGCGCATTTCACAAGTAGTTATCTCCTGTTCTAGTGCCCTATTCATTGTCCATGTTTGACACTTATAGCATAAAGTAGGGATGAAGATGCTATGATTCATCTGCTGTTTTGCTGGAAGAAAGACATTTACAGAGAGTGTCAGACAGAGAGTAGTTCCAGTGAGAAGCCCCTAGGAACCTTAGAAACATCTGCACTTGTGAGCTAAAAACATCATGCACTTGTGAGCCAAACGAAGAAATCCGAGACCGAACCCACAACATTCAGATCTCAAGGCAATTGGTTCAACTACTTTGCCACACTGACCCCTTCAGATTCATGTAAAGTTTAAGGTTAAAGCAAGGGTGAAGGCAACAAGACCCACTTTTATGCACCATGTCACCCCAAACAGCTCAGTCATACTCCCCTCACAATAGCTGCCTGCTGAAAGCGCTGCTTAAAGAACAAGCTCTGTAGCTCCGGCAGGGATCTCCATTAAAAAAAAAATGGTTGCCTTGTGAACATTTTCTGTAAAATCTGGCGAAATGTTCTGGCCATTCATCCACTGTCTGGATTCTGACCTCTGACCTTGTTCCAGGACTTGGGTGTTGTGTGCAAGCTGTTAGCTCCTTAGCACTCCAACTCAGAGAGAAATACACATCCTATCTACACTGATCAGGTCGCCGGTAGGATGCATGTTAGTTAGTTAGTTGACAGATTATCATCACTGCACATCGAACCATTCAGTCCATAAGTGCTCAGATAGGCTATCTTCCGAATAACGGTCCCAAATTATCGAGGCAGAAAATATACCCTAACAGGGTCTCAGTCACATGTCAGTCGCGCACTTCCAGCGACTTAAATAGCACACTTCTGCCACCGCCGAGAGTATCCCCACGCCGCTCATGCGGCGTGAATTGGGGCTAAACTAGATGGCTGGGACTCACGTGCAGCAGCTACTGCATTTCCTGCAGCTGCCTTGATTTTATTTGCTTGTGAGTCCCAACCATCTAGTTTAGCCCCAAACCATGCCGCGTGAGTGGCTTGGGAATACTCTCGGCGGTGGCGGTATAGTCCCCGGAAGTTCGCAATTCGGCGGTGCGGTATAGTCGCCAGAAGTGCGCAATCGACACGTGACTGAGGCCCTGTTAGGGTATATTTTCTGCCTCGATAATTTGGGACCGTTATTCGGAAGATAGCCCTCAGATCCCCTCCTTAGTAAATTCGGCAGCATGTAGCAGCTGTTGACACCAGTTCTGTACTGGTTTCTTATTCTTCTTTGGCTTCCTGCACAGTGCTCTTGTCTGGCCACGCCACTTTTAACATGTTGTTCTTGCAGTCTGGTTATGGTTGCAGATTCACAGTCATTACTTAGTTCTCGCAAATGTCTTACTTCTCATACAGCATTCAGAATATCAGCATGGTCCATGACTTGTGCACCCTCCACAGAAGCTTTACCAGCAAGCTGATCAGCTTGCTCATTTCCCTGCACACCTGCGTACCCTGGAACAAATATAAAACTGATATGTGTCAGCCCAGACCGCTTTAGGGACTCCAACCACCGTCTTCGGTCCAGACAGCTTTAGAGAAGACTTCAGCCACTGTCTTCGGAACCAGCCTTTCTCTCTATCTCCCTGAGCATATTCATGGAGTCACTGTATGTTTGTAGGATGACCACAGAGAGGACCGTGTGGGTAGTCTTCACCTTGGTCCACCACTAGGTGCGGTTTAGCACCTGCACAACCTATCTGAGGAGCAGCTGGCTGGACAGCTAAGAATGCTGGGCTCCCATGCGGGTAAACTTAGGTTCAAATCCTCTGTAAGGTTGGGGGTTTGTTCTGTTAGGGATAGGGGGGGGGGGGATCTTAACATGCACAGTCTGTGGCAACAGCACTAGCCATGCGACCCTAAACCCTCAGGCTCAAAGATTCCCTATGCCTACACCATAAAAATGGTAAACACAGGCTGTAATGACCCTTTATAGGAAACAGCATCCCGGTCACAAACAACTTGTACAGACAGCAGATTCAGAAACACAAAGTTAGCTGTTACTCAGAAACAAACATAAAAGAACCACGCAAGTCTCTTCCTACCATGTCTCCTGCCCCGACAGTGACAGATTTAAGAACCCCTGGCATGGGAGCCAACACCAGCGAGCTTGTGTCTGGCTCTCTCTTCTCCAGCATGTACTGGCTCAAATGGTAGGCTGTGTCGTCCATCACCGTCAGTGGATACTGACAATATCCAATCACAATGCATGATAATGAAAACAAGGACACTGACTGGTTACAACTGCTGTTTACCCTTTGACCCTGAGGTACTAGTGTGCATGTGTGTGTGTGTGTGTGCGTGTGTATGCGTACGTGTGTGTATGATTGTGTGTCAGGGCTTGCTCATTTTTACAATGCAACTTCTATTTCGATTCTTCCCATTCACAGGCAAAAGTTCTGGTTGTTCGTCCACCTCTGGTCTTTAGTCTTGTTCCAGAATCGGAGTGTTGTGTGCACATCCGTTTCACAGATCTGACTAATGTGCATTCAGACTGTTGGTTCCTTGCCTCAGGCAGATGCACGCTGGAAGCCCCCAGTTAGTCGACTGCTACAACTTGCTTGTTGGGGAGGCAGTGGGTCTATGTGTTTTCCCCCCACACTGGGGTCCCAGAACCCACACAGGGATATATCAGATTGATATGGCAGGCATATTTTCTTCGCCGTCTTCTTCTTCTTCTTCAGCGCTCCAAGCCCTGGAGTCACTGCCGCAGATATCACCCGCCTCCATTCATCACTGTGGCCCTCTCTTTCCAGCGGGTGACACCAAGTGTTTGCAGGTCTGCCTGGATATTCTCTCTCCATCTCGGTCTTCCTCATGGTCTCCTTCAGTTCAACTCTTCTCTGTATGTTATCTGTCAGTCTCTCTATATGTCTTAGCCCAGGCATGTTAAAGTGTTTGTAAGCACAAAGGAAATATTTAACCTATATTTTTGTTTAAATTACTCCAATTTGTTGTCTTGTGCTGCCATCATGACGACAACATTTGACCCGTATAGCCTTTAGGGAACCCCCAGTTTTTTATGACTGTCCTAACCATCGCAGTCATCCATCATTGTCAGTGGACAGTCATCCATCATTGTCAGTGGACAGTCATCCATCAGTGTCAATGGAAGTCATCCATCATCGTCAATGGACAGTCATCTACCATCGTCAATGGACAGTCATCTACCATCGTCAATGGACAGTCATCTACCATCGTCAATGGACAGTCATCTACCATCGTCAATGGACAGTCATCCTTCATCGTCAATGGACAGTCATCCATCATCATCAATGGACAGTCACCCATCATCATCAATGGACAGTCACCCATCATCATCAATGGACAGTCACCCATCATCATCAATGGACAGTCACCCATCATCATCAATGGACAGTCACCCATCATCATCAATGGACAGTCACCCATCATCATCAATGGACAGTCACCCATCATCATCAATGGACAGTCACCCATCATCATCAATGGATAGTCATCCATCATCATCAATGGATACTGAAGATATCCAATCACAATGCATAATAATGAAAACAAAGACACTGATTGGTCACAACTGTTGTTTACCCTCTGACCCTGAGGTTCAAGCCCCTCATGGTGCCAGAAGTTAGTGGCGAGTCAAACAGACAGACAGGCTTATAACAATGCAGATAATAAGTTTGGGAGTTGAAGTGGCACCGTGACTATACACTTGTCTGCTAGGTTGAACATCTGTGGTTTGATTCTGCAAAGGGACAGATTTGTACAACAGATTTAGGGCTCCCAGACCAAAAGAGGCTGAAACTGGTCCTGAAAAGTCACCCAGCCAGTGCCTAACCTGTCCCTACTGTCTGTTTTACCACCCTTTTTTAGGGCGATGTAGACAGGGAGTCAAGAGCCTGAGGTAATAGGGCCGCATGGCTGGTGCTGCGGCCACAGACTGTGCAGGTTAGGGTGTTTAATTCTGCCCTTGACAGAAAAACTCCAGCTTACGGGAGCTCGAACCTGGGTCTCCTGCCTGAAAGCCTGACGTTGTCACCACTTGGCCAGCTGATTCTCCCAGTCAGTGCCAATTGGTCTAACAAAAATATTAGTCTAGTACAGTGGACGGCAAATCACAGCTCGCAAGCCGCATGTGGCTCTCTAGCGACCTGAGAGCAGCTCGGCCAGTCGGCCATAAATCAATTTTGACTCTGAAAAACATGGTTCTTGACAGGTTCATGGAAAGAAATGTGGTTCTAAATATTTTTTTAATTGTCCGGCTGCCTTTTGGCACTTTTGACTAAATAGTTTGCCGACCACTGTGCCTAATGGGTCAATGACACGAACAGTGCCCTTTCCTTTCTTCCCGTGTGGGTTACTGGGCCCTATTTCAGGGTAGAAACAGAATAAACTTTTGCTCCCCTAAAAAAGCATGTCATAGGAGGCATCCAACTGGGGGTGACTCCTTCCAAGCTGAAGAACATCTACCTGAGAGGCAAGGAACCAACAGACTGCATGCAACTAAGCCACATCTGTAAAACGGATGTGGAATCAAAACTCAGCAAGACTTAAGTCCAGAAGTGAACGAACAACCATAACTTTCCGCTGAGTTTTCAGCGGGTGAACATAAAGAAGACGTCTTTCCCGCATACCTGTAACCAAAATCGCTGCATGTCTAAATGATCTAGTATGCCAGTTGTACTTACCACTGTTCCGTAGTATCGAACATCATACCTTCCACCCCCTAGTCTTTGGCTCAGCTGAAATGCAATGGAAAACATAATTTTTTATTGCAAACTTTAAACAGACACACTACCAGATTTCTTCAGTAAACTCTGGCTAAACACAGAAAGTACAATCACATACATTCTGTTGAACTGTCGCCCTGAAAAGGCTACATTCAGTCACTTCTGGTTTCGACACATTCTCGTAATTGCAGACACAGGCCAGAATATGAATACAGTAACCAACAAATACTCATAGCAGAAAATTCAGAATGCCTACAGAACCACCTAAATCAAATTAGTAACAAAGGGGAGGAATATAATATGAAAATAAACAATACGAAGACAGAGACAATGATGACAGGAAGACATAAAGACGATTTAGAAATACACTTAAAAAACAACACCCTGAGATAAACAGAGGAATTTAAGTATTTGGGAGCAATTTTCACATACGACGGAAAACTGGACAGAGAAATTAGCTCCAGAAGTGCCAAAGCTAATCAAGTAATGGGTCAACTATCTCCCCTGTTGACACACAAGCAGATACCTCGGAGTACTTAAGTTAATTTTATCAAAACTATTTTTTGGCCAACACTATGCTATCAATGCCAAACGTGGACACTTACATCCTCTAATGAACGTGAAATTGTGACAACAGGGATGAAATGCCTTAGAAGAGCTGCGGGAGTTTCAAGGAAAGACAGAATACGGAATCATGAAATCAGACGCATGCTAGGAATAAAGCCAGTCTTACAGGTTATCAAAGAACAAGAAATGAAGTGGTTTGGACACCTAACAAGAATGCCCCGGTACTATCTGCCACAGCGAGCCACACTAAAACATTACAACGGCTATAGAGCAAGAAGACCTCGGATGACCTCGGAACATATGGAGTGATGGCATTAAGAACAGCCTTACAGAAATGAACATCAGTCTTAATAGTGCTCTTTGACAGAGCTAATCAACGTACATTACATCTCCCCCCGACACTTCGATGAGGTACAAGGTGGAAGAGAAGAAGAAGAACTAACAAATAGCCTTTAGAGGGGTTCACTTAAGACCTTAGTGGCTTTTAACAGCCAAGTTGATGTCAAATGTTCCTGTAAGCCTCACTGATGGAGGTCATGAGGTCAAGACATGAGTCACCTGATATAAATTTGTGTCAGGTCCCAGGAGCAGATTCTATTTAATGCTTCACTGTTCATATTTACTGATTACTTCCTTTATATTTCTCAATATATTTCAAAGAAAATGTAGATAAATAAATGTTTAAATAATTCATTAGTTACCTGAATTCTTTTTTAAGGATATGTTTTCTTCACATTTCATTACCAATTTTTTTTTTTTAAGCATCAGCGGGGTGAAAGGGTTAAATAACTTTCTGTTTAAAAACCTGATCTTAAAAGCAGAAGTTACATTGTTCATGATTCTCATGATAGTTTACCTGTTGTGAGGTTTGCTGCATTCTTTAAAAAATACACACACATATTTATATATATATATATATATATATATATATATATATATATATATATATATATATATATATTATATATATATATATATATATATTAATATATATATATATATATATATATATACACACAGAAAGGAAACTCCAAAATCCAGGTAAATTCAGAAAGACTAAAGAGAAAAGATTAGACAAAAAAATTAATTATTACATCCTATGGTAGAAGAGAAAAGACTAGACAAGACCAAAAGACACCTCTTGATTTGCAAATGGCATATTTCACTGATTTTATAAAGTTACTAAACAAACAAATACAGAGAAAATGTAAATACCTGTAACAGGCGCTGCTCCCCGTTGATGGTAAGATCCATAAGTGGTGAGATAAAGGACAAATTCCCTTTGACTTCAAAGACATCACCAGCGATGACAACCTGCCAATCAGCAATAAAGCAGATGTCAGCAGCATCATCATCATCATGTGCCCTGCCAACTGGCATGGGCGCTCATGCGTCTCCACAGATCACAATCCCTGGTTGCCTGGAACAGCTCTCTTGATGATATCCCTCCATGCCATCGTTTCAGCCCATCCAGCATCATCTCTCTCGGTCTGCCTCTACCCCTTTTTTCACTGATCTTTCCAGTTGTCACGATGTTCTCCAATGTCTCTCTTCTCATTATGTGGCCAAAGAACAGTGTTTCTTTCTTATTGTTGTAAATAATCTACTTTTATTAGCTTCTTTCAAACAATTGTTGTAAGTAACTCTGGCCGTACAAGGTATTTGTAACATTTGTCTCAGAAAAGACATCACTGTTACTTCCAAATTCTTCCTCATTTGTTCACCGACATTCCAAGATTCGCTGCCATACAGCAGAACAGGTTCTTTGTAACATTTTAGCATTTTTTATATCTTCATGCTTGAGGAAAATGTTGAATACATAAAATGGGATGACTTTGGGAGGGGTGGAGAAATAAGAGAAACGCCTGGACAACCAAGAGTATCAACAGTTGTAAGACAAAGATGGTGCTATACCAGAAACAAATAATAACACTACCATCCCCCTATGGGATGTAATTTTTTGTTGGTTTGAAGCCCCAGCCTGGCTTTTGCCGGGGGCCCTAAATATAGCCGGGCCTGAAATATTGCCTAACTGCTGAACGGGGTTTCCAGGACCTCTCAACGGGTGATCCTCATCCGCATGGTATCACCGGGTGCTTATCGCTTGTGTGATGTCCTGGTGGGGTACAACTTACCTACCTACCTATACTTGAAACATCCAGAGAAAAGACAAACAGAGAATCCCCAAACAGGTAGTGAAACAGGAAATAAAGTGACTGAGAACATCCTAAAGAAATCCTTAAACAAACAGGGATGAGATTTCAAAAAATGTTGGACTGGATTCCGTTCAGGACATCAAAGGGACTGCATAGGACAGAGCAGAATAGAGGAACAGACCGCAAGCACTATATGGCATATAATGGCACAAGTGAACAATGAAGATGAGTTGAACCAAGAATTGACATCACAGCACTCGGGACATTCCCCTGTGTTCTCCGTCCTCAGCTTCAGCAGCCAGTGCAGACTACCAATACTTATGGTACCGGTCACAATCTGGTTATATGTCCGTCTTGCCTTTCCCCTGAGTGTAGTGAGCCGGCCAGACCCTCTGGTTACACCCAGGTGCCTCATTCTCTCCAGGCAACAATGAAGATGAAAGCTCATCTATGTGGGGCTGAATAAAGAACTGACATCCCTGCACTCAGGACGTTCCCGCACGTGCTCAGTTCCTTTTCTCAGTAGCCAATGAAGAGGCGACATGTTAACAGGACCTGTCGCAACTTGATTAAAAGTCGGCCTATTTTTCCCTCTCAGTGCTGAACATCCTCCAGACCCCCCTCCCCCAATGTACGGATTCTCTTGCACTATCCATTTGATCCCAGAGAGTCCTCACCATGTCTGCTTTATCATAAAGTAGCTCACCATCTGGAGGAGCAGCTAATCTATCAGCTGCTCATTGCCCCACACACCTGAATATTGTGACATCATACACGAGGCTCTCTGTTTTCAAACAGTGTCCATTTATCTTTGCAATAAAAACCCCACTGACTTCTTCTTACCTCTCCCTACAGACCCATCTGCGTATATAATGACTGGGCGTAATTTTTCATCGATTAGGTCTCCGTTTCACCAGCTATCCATTCCTGGCACCCTTGGCCCAAGGTAACTATCACTCTGTGCAAGACTGTTTTGCTGGGCGACAGTGTGACCCATGCATTATTTTATCAGTAGTTAAAAACTTTCCTTATTATGACTTCTACCTGTGCTGTCCCAGAGCTACTTATTTTCAGCCGTTGTCCCTTGCTGTCCCGCAAGGCCTCATGTAGAAGATGTCTGTTTCCTGTCTGTTGCAACTTTAATGTATATTTTTGCCTGTAACACTTCGTATCTTCCATATACAGTCAGCAATGCAAGTATGTACGTGTCTCGTGTATGCCAAAAAATAGCTCATATGACTTCATTCTGCATGCTTTCCAGATTCTTTATTTGGGTGTGAGATAGCGTTAGCAGTCACAAACCATACAACAACACCAAAATAATCAGCTGATGGTAGAGTGTATACATCATTCTCTCTTTCATGTTCACTGAAGTCATCATTTTTCAAACACAGAGTCCTTTCCTTATCTTTAAAACTACATTTTCCACATCTCAAACAATTCAGTTATTTAAAGAACACCACAATATGGCCATCTTACGTGGGTTATTGACAAATCCAGTTTCCTCAAACTACTCCCATACCTCGTATACCGCATTCTGTCGTTCTCTAGATATTTCTATTCTATTTCTCCGCTGTCTCTGCAGACTAAAATACCCTCAGCAAAATTAAAAACTACCTCAATGCCCAATGGCTCTATTACAAAAAAAAAAAAAAAAAAAGAAGTAGAAAAGGAAGGAAGGAAGGAAGGAAGGAAGGAATGAAGGAAGGAAGGAAGGAAGGAAGGAAGGAAGGAAGGGAGGAAGGAAGGAAGGAAGGGAGGGAGGGAGGGAGGGAGGAAGGAAGGAAGGAAGGAAGGAAGGAAGGAAGGAAGGAAGGAAGGAAGGAAGGAAGGAAGGAAGGAAGGAAGGAAGGAAGGAAGGAAGGAAGGAAGGAAGGAAGGAAGGAAGGAAGGAAGGAAGCAGCTGCAGCAGAATGTTTACCTTGTAGCCATCAGGTATTCTGGACACCTTGGCATGGAAGCGAACTTTGTTAATGAGCACATTTAATGACCAGCTGGTCTTTGTATCCCTGACATGAGGAATTCTGCGATGGAAACAATCAGCATGAAGTGTGGCCACCAGACCATAGAACAAAGTAACAACCCATGCCTAATGATAAAATAACAACAACCCATGCATTATGATAAAATAACAACTGTCTTATAACAAAATAACAACTCATGTCTTATAACAAAATAACAATAACCCCCCCCCCCCCCCCCCCCCCCCCCATCCCCAAAGGGTTACTCAACCAAGTTTACTCAGCGGCCAAACTGTTGAACATCCAGATCATCATGGGCCAGACGCCTCAGCTCAGACTAGAAATATCATTGACACAATACAACTGGCAATGACCCATGGGCCAATCGCTAAACCTCAGCAGGCCGATCCAGCCCTGCAGGCCACCAGTTGAATAGCCCTGTGCTAAATCAAGCAGCCTTACCTGCCCCGATGAATGAAGTTCCTTACCAGCTCTAATTAATGAAGTTCCTTACCTACTCTGATTAATGAAGTTCCTTACCTACTCTGATTAATGAAGTTCCTTACCTGCCCTGATTAATGAAGTTCCTTTCCTGCTCTGATTAATGAAGTTCCTTACCTGCCCTGATTGATGAAGTTCCTTACCTGCCCTGATTAATGAAGTTCCTTACCTGCCCTGATTAATGAAGTTCCTTTCCTACTCTGATTAATGAAGTTCCTTACCTACTCTGATTAATGAAGTTCCTTACCTGCCCTGATTAATGAAGTTCCTTACCTGCCCTGATTAATGAAGTTCCTTTCCTACTCCGATTAATGAAGTTCCTTACCTGTTCTGATTAATGAAGTTCCTAGACCTCTGCTGATCCTTGAGATAAACAGCACATGCCAGTGCTGACAGCTCCTCATTCTCCCTCACCGACAGCTGTTTGCCTGTTGGGAATACAAATCACATCTGTAGCAGAAAGACAACTGTAGGTTATATACACCATCACCTGTTTGTAATAATGTGTTTGTAATAATGTGTTTGTAATAATTGTGTTTGTAATAATTGTGTTTGTAATAATTGTGTTTGTAATAATGTGTCTGTAATAATGTGTTTGTAATAAAATGTTTGTAATAATGTGTTTGTAATTAAAAAAAATTGTAATACATTTTTTTGTAATAAATTTTTTTTTGTAATAATGTGTTTTTAATAATGTGTTTGTAATAATGTGAAGCTGACTGGTTCTACTTTTCATTGGTTTGATATAATTCGGGGGCTGTGTGGTCTTTAAGCATGGCGTCCACCTCGAGTGCTGGAGGTCCCAGGTTCAAGCCCCATGAAGGCTGTGATTTTTTCACGTGGACTTCTAGTAATTTCCCCTGGTCTCCGGGTAGTAAGATTGGACGCCTCTGTGTATTGTTGCGCACGAAAAAAATCCCTTCGCAGTTAGAAATCGACAAGAGTAGCCTAATGGCGCTGCCCAGGCACAATTTGGAGTTAATCTACCCAAAGCATTTCAGGATCCTGGCTGGTGCTACGGAGTTCATGCACTGTGCTGAGATTCTTCAGACTCAGGCTTGAGTTAGAAGTAGAACGGGGCACTTATGGGTTACTACCCGCGTGCCATGACATTGATCCATTGTCTAAACCTAAACCCTTAATATCATTTCAGAAAGACACCAGTACCAGTGAACACAACATATCTATCACGGCCAAAGCCATCATAAAGATAGCATCAACATCTTCCCCTGAAGTTGGAGTACATCTGCCCTAGAAAGCAAGGAACAAGAATGACACACAACTAAACCAGTAAAACAGATGTACATGCAAAACTCAGGTCCTGGAACAAAGACACCTGCACCAGTGAGCACAATATATCTACCAGGAGGCAAGGAACAAGAATGACACACAACTAAACCAGTAAAACAGATGTGCATGCAAAACTTTGTACCAAAGACATGAGCATCCATTATGGCCACACCTATGCTAATAACTCACCCTTGAATCCATCAGGAAACACCTCTGGCAGATAGTTAGTGCTGATGTCGCCTCTAACAAACCGGTCCTCCGTGATGATATCCCGAAGTAATGGGATGTTGTGGGTCACCCCTGCAGACGACAAAGGCATGTGGTCAGTTCCGTGACCTTTAATGACATTGCCAGGTTATTCAGTCGACAAACTGGCATACTGGTTTTGAACGCATCATTTCAGGGGACACAGTATACAACATAAAAACTAAGAGAATATGGCTCTCCTTTAGATAACGGTCGCTAGCTGGAAAGCCGACGGTCGTTTAGTCCACACGCTGCGACTGACAGTAGCGACCGCGGTCTTGCGACGCAAGACTCTCGTAGACCATGCGCTGCGACTCACATTAGCGACCGCGTTCTTCCGACGCAAGACTTAGTGACCGTAGATGTGAGAACTGCGGACCTGTATGTCGTAATGAGCGATAAGCTTCCGTCGTGTCACCCTAACCCTAACCCTTCCCCAAATCCTAACCCAAACCCTAAGCCTAACCCTAGGATGACAGGTAACTATATCATTTGTTTCGTTCCCTCTTTACCACTCCGTATTTGCACTGCAGCCAAGGGAATGAACTCCGACTAAGTGACCATCGGCTTTCCAGCTAGCGACCGTTATTTAAAGGAGAGCCAAGAATTTAAAAAATTTTTATTGCCAGTGCCTCATTGTGGTCAATTCCTCTGTGTCTTATTTATGACAATGCCAAGATTTTAGTCAACAAACTGGCATAGCCGTTTTGAACAAATTATTCCAAAGGACAAAACAGACAATATAAAAGTTGAAAAAAAAAACAGAAAAAAAAAACAGTATCCACAAGAGGGTTACAATTTTTTAATGACGACAGTACCTCATTGTGGTCTATTTCTCAGTCTTATGACACTGCCAGGTTTTTCAAGTGAAGGGGAAAGACAGTATAGACCTACCGCCCTCGAACAAAAAACAAAACAAAATATGTTAGTCGTGTGTTCTTTACAGGACATTAAAGGACCAACATCCACATTTTTTTAGCTGTTTTTTTTTAAGGCAAATTTGCCAGTGCCATCTGAACGGTCAGCTCTCTGTACCACTGTCAAACCCAACGCAAGACAAATCTTCCTCAGCTGGGGACCGACCCTGGATTTCTGTGAGTCTGATCACAAAAATATACATTTTAGAAAACATGTAAAAACAAACTCAACAGAAAAGAACAAACATCAGTTTTTAGCCTTCATACTGGACACTGTGGTCTTCGAGCACCCTTGCACAGGATAGGTATAAAAGAATCTGCTGCCTGTGATTGTGGAGCAGAAAGACAGACACCCCTGGGCACATACTGCAGTACTGCCCTTACCTCTCCAAGCAAAGACTGTGGATCTGGCCCAAGGGAGCCACATTGCAAGAGAAGGTATATGGGACCGGTGGCGCCTTAAACGCACATTCCTATTTGTGACCCAGACGGGACTCAATGTTTAGCATGACTGATATCGAACGCAGAAGAAGAAGAAGAAAACATGTGACTTTCCTTCTTCAGTTATTTGATTCATGCATTCTTAGACCTTGGTTTTTTCAATCTCTTCTTTACATTCTTCTTCTTCTTCTTCAGCCTTTCTATCTCCCAATGGAGCATAGGCCTTCAACCAACTCACGCCAAGTCGTTCTATCCTTCGCCATTGCATGAAGCTCTCCCCATGTCGTCCCTATCTTTCTAACTTCATTCTCCAGCTCTCTTCTCCGTGTGTTTTTTGGCCTTCCTTTATGCCTATGCCCCTGTGGGTTCCAATGCAAAGACATTCTAGGTATGCTGTTCTCCTGTTTTCTCAGTGTGTGTCCTATCCAACACCAGCGTCTTTTCCTCACCTCTTCTGTACATTAACCTGCTGTAAATGTTGGCAGAAAGTTCTGGTTGCCCGTTCGCAACACTTAAGCCACAGACGCTGTCCCCTCTAAAAAGCATGCCATAAATTTTTTTTACTAATTTGGCATAAGCTGAAAATGGATGTGTTGGGCACAAAAGCATAGATATCGCAGCCTAGATATAAAACACAACACCGCCCTTTCAAGGACAAATACAGCAGGTGACACAAGGGCTATTCAACTGGTGGCCTGCGCACCGTGGAGACCTAGCAAGTGGCCCACAGATCACGGCAGCTGTACTGTACTAACGATCATTCTACACCGGTGCTCGGGTCTGTTGCCCATGAAGCTCCCCGTCTGCAAAATGTTGGGCCTGAGAAAACTTAGGTGAACAGCCCTGCACTTGACAATACAAAAAAAATGAAAGCTATAAAAAGTAAGTAAAGATCCCTTTTCACGCCTTAGGCGCATAGGGCATATGAAAAGAGCAACCATATTTTTACAGACCAATCAGCACTAAGTGGGTAATGTGGTCAGCATTATGCCAGCCATCTTTACTTAACCAAAAATAAGACATTCGGATCTCCTTAAAACTACGGCCACCTATTATGGAGTACGCCGGAGTTCAGTCCCGTGGCCGCATTGCAATTACAGAGTGAGACAGAGGGAACGAAACAAATGACGTAATTACTGTGTGTTGGCGATAGAATCACTGCTGTCATAATAGGGTTAGGGTTAGGGTTTGGGTTAGGGTTAGGGGTAGGGTTAGGTTTAGGGGTAGGGTAAGGAGTGGCCGTAGTTTTAAGTAGTACCAATACCCTAACCCTAACCCAAACCCTAACCCTAACCCAAACCCTATTATGACAGCAGTGCATCTATCGCCAAAACACAGTAATTACGTCATCGGTTCACGCTGTCTATCGCCAACACACAGTAATTACGTCATTTGCTTCGTTCCCTCTTGTCCACTCCGTAATTGCAATGCGGCCAGGGGACTGAACTTCGGCGTACTCCATAATAAGTGGCCTTAGTTTTAAGGAGAACCAGACATTCTGGCACCCACTTGAGGCTGGGTTGACCATGATAAAAATCTATGCAGCCAGCAGTGGGTTTCGATTGCAGTACTTTGGAATTACGAGTCGGACTCGCAATGCCTAAGCCACGGACGCCCCATTGAAAGCTATAGTTATGGTTTCAAACCAGTCATCTGCAAATGATGATAGTGTCTTATTCAAGTGTACTGTTATGCACGGCCAACACACCCCAAAATATGGTTCCAGACATAAAACATGTTATCTCTTAAACAGACACATAAAACATGTTATCTCTTAAACAGACACATAAAACATGTTATCTCTTAAACAGACATATAAAACATGTTATCTCTTAAACAGACATATAAAACATGTTATCTCTTAAACAGACATATAAAACATGTTATCTCTTAAACAGACATATAAAACATGTTATCTCTTAAACAGACATATAAAACATGTTATCTCTTAAACAGACATATAAAACATGTTATCTCTTAAACAGACATATAAAACATGTTATCTCTTAAACAGACATATAAAACATGTTATCTCTTAAACAGACATAAAACATGTTACCGATAATACATACACATAGACCATGTTACCTTTGATGACATAAGAATCTAAAGCTTTGACCATGGTGCTGAGAGCCGACGTACGATCCCTTCCGTACGTGACCAGCTTACAGATCATGGGGTCGTAGAATATACTGATCTCACTGCCTTCCATGATGCCGCTGTCGCAGCGAGTCTGCTCACAAAAATATACACAATTTAGAAAACATGTGACTTCCCTCCTTTAGTTATTTGATTCATGCATTTTTAGACCTTGCTCTTTTAAATCCCTTCTTCACATTCACTTGTTGTAAATTTTGACGGAAAGTTCTGGTTGTTTGTCCGATTCTGGACTTGAATGATGTGTGCACATCCATTTTACAAACTGATTTAGTTGCATGCAGACTGTTAGTTCCTAGCCTTTCAGGCAGATGCACTATGACGTTGATGGGGGGAAATTCTTACTAGTTACCTTTTGAAACATGCTTACTGGAAAGAAGGGAGAGGGGCAGTGGGCTAATTGCCTCCCTTTAGACCCTGATTGTTTTATGTCTTCTTATTCTGAGGGAGGCTGTGTGGTCTCGAGGCATGGTGTCCGCCTCGAGTGCTAGAGGTTTCGGGTTCCATCCCCGGTAAGGGCTGGGATTTTTTCAGGTGGACTTGGACTTCTAGTCATTTCCCCTGGTCTCTGGGTACTGAGATCGGACGCCCGTGTGCATTGTTGCGCATGTAAAAAATCCCATGGCAGTTGGAAATCGAAAAGAGTAGCCTAACGATGCTGGCCGGGCAAAATTTGTAGTTAAAAATGTACCCAAAGAATTTTAGGATTCTCGCCGGTGCTACAGAGCCTATGCACTGTGCTGAGCTTCTTCAGACTCAGACCTGAGTTAGAAGAAAGGAGCACTTAGGGGTTACTACCATTGTGCCATGATGTTGATCCAAACTTCAAACTTCTTATTCTTATCTGGGGTATATTAAGTCTTTCATCTTTTAACTTAAAGTATATCACCGCTTAAACTCATTTTTAGTCTTTTCTCTTCTATCCTAGGATGATGTAGACTACCTCAGAGTCTTGTTCAATCTTTCCTCTTCTATCCCAGAGGAAAAGAAAGACGGACATATAACCAGATTGTGACCGGTACCATCAGTATTGGAACTCTGCGCTGGCTGCTGAAGATGAAGACGGAGCATGCATGAGAATGCTCCGAGTGCTGTGATGTCAACTGTTGACTCAACTCAACTCAACTCCTCTTCTATTCTAGGATGCAGACATACCTTACTGTCTTGTTTAGTCTTCCCTCTTCTATCCTAGGATGCAGACTACCTCACAGTCTTGTCTGGTCTTTCCTTTTCTATCCCAGAGAGTAGAGGTAATCCCTGTGGTCTGTGCCCTTCTACCAAGCGCGGTAGAGGTCTTCTTCACCCTGCCTTTAATAAATTCCCCACAGGTTCCAGCTAAAGTGATTGTCCTTCTTGGCCAGGGCTACTATCTCGTTCTTGCCAGAAATGCTGCCGTTTTATTTTCATTGTCTTCATTTTTGTCCTGCATTTGCCGTTAAAAATGCAAGTAGCAGTCTGTATTGTGGTTTACAGCAGCTAAACTGCAATATTGGCCCCTTTCCCCCCAGCATGTCGGATTTCAGATTGCTAATAATTGTGATGATTATGGTAGTGATGATGATGATTATGGTAATGATGATGATGATGGTAATATTGGTGTTGATTATGATAATAATGGTGATGATTATGGTAATAATGGTGATGATTATGATAATAATGGTAATAATTATGGTAATAATGATAATAATGGTGATGATTATTGTAATAATGATCTGATTAAGGTAATGATGGTGATGATGATGGTAATAATGATGCATATAATGATGGTGAATAACAGTGATTAATGAGCACTATCATTATAGCACTCCAGACAGGTCCATAAGTGCTTCAGTCTCTCCAACAGCTGATCCCATGACATGCTTGTCAGAAGGCAATGGGTCTATTTTCACACTGGGGCCCCAGAATCCACAAAAGGGTTCCTCCTTTTTTTTTTTTTCACCTGAACCAGTCAATCTATTGCCAGAAAGATGTGTTTTCTGCCAACCTGCCAGACAGAATTTGGCTATCCCCCAAATAACGTTTACAAATTATTGAGGCCGAAAATATACCCTAACAGGGCCTCAGTCACGTGTCAAATGCGGACCTCTGGGGACTATGACGCCACCGCCGAATAGCGAACTTCCAGGGACTATATCGCCACCGCTGAAAGTGTCTGCACGCCGCGCGAGCGGCATGAATTGGGGCTAAACTAGATGGCTAGGACTCACGAGCAAATAAAATGAAGGAAGCTGCAGGAGATGCGATAGCTGTTGCTCGTGAGTCCCAGCCATCTAGTTTAGCCCCAATCCATGCTGCGTGAGCAGCGTGGGGGATACTCGGAAGTCGCCGGAAGTGCGCAATTTAAGACGACGGATGTGCGCAATTGACATGTGACTGAGGCCCTGTTAGGGTATATTTTCAGCCTCAATAATTTGGGACCGTTATTCAGAGGATAGCCCAAAATTGCCCTCTACAAACACAGACATAAAGCAGTCACCAGAATCAAAGAATGACGTACATTTTCCAGGTGTGTTGGTTCCACATAACGAGACAAGCGACCTATCGAGGGCATGCCAAAGTTCTTGTAAGGATCCTGAAACAGAAACATCAGTGAAAATAAACAAGCGAGATCATCTTAAAGGTATTGTTTAATCTGACAACACTGCAAGACAGGCAATCTGCTTCTTTTCTTTCTCTCTTATATTTAGAACTCCATGTTGATGTTCCTTTTTCTTCTTCTTCTTCTTCGCGTTCACCAGCTGTAAACTCTGGCGGAAACTTCTGGTTTTTTATCCACTTCTGGACTGCAGTCCTGTTCCAGAACCTGAGTGTTGCATGTGCATCTGTTTTACAGATCTGACTCATTTGTATGCAGACTGCTGGTTCCTTGCCTCTCAGGCAGATGCACGACGACTTCAAAGGAAGCTCCCAATTAGTCTACTCTTGCAGGCTGCGTGGATTTTTGTCGTGGTATGGGACGTCGCAGGTCGACCCAGCCTAAAATGGGTACCAGGATGGGCTGTCCTGGGAAAGTAAAGACAGCCGGCGTAATGCTGACCACATAACCCACAGAGTGCTTATGGTCTGTAAAAATATGGGACGCTCTGCCCATATGCCCGATGCGCCGAAAGGCGTGAAAAGGGAACTTTACTTTACTTTTTTTACAGTATGCTTTTAGGTAGGCAGTGGGTCTATTCTTGTTTTCCCTGTAATAGGGCCCCGGAACCCAAACAGAGAGTTAGTGTTCCTAAAGAATGCAACTTGTAAGGTTTCATTTCTCTGTGTGGGTTCCTGCAGCTCCAACTGGGCCGGTGGGGATGGGGGGGGGGGGGGGGCACTTAGTTAGTTAGTGAGTCTTTCCTCTTGTATCGAGTGCGCCACATAGGGCAGAGGTCATGACTCTCCATGCATGGCGGTTCGTTGCAATCCGTTGTAGGTCTTGGATGTTTGAGTGGCCCATGAGCGAGCCTTCCCTGATGATAGTTCTTCGCAGGGTTTCCCTTGGTCTTCCACGAGATCTTTTCCCCTGTGGTGTCCAAATGAGGGCTTGGTAAGGAAGTCTTGATTTATCCATTCTAAGGCCGACATAGTTCCAGCGGCGTTTTCGTATAAAATTAGACACATACTCTTGCCTGGATTCTTGCCTTATTTGTGTATTGGTTCGGTGTTTGTCTGTCCCAAGTCAGAGCATTTCTGCCTGAGAGGCAAGGAACTACCAGTCTGCAAACAAGTAACCCATATCTGTTAAACAGATTTGCATGCAAACTCAAATTCTGGAACAAGACCAAAGTCCAGAAGTGGATGAACAACCAGAACTTTCTGCTGAAGCTTACAGATGGTGAATGCTAAGGAGATTTCACAATGCCATGAGACAAGCAAACTGCCTTTCTTGTTCCTCTCTTAAATTCAGAACTTAATGTTCACGTTCTTAATCTTCTTCTTTGTTTTCGCATTCACCGGCTGAAAATTCCGGTGGAAAATCTCTGGCTGTTTGTCTACTTTTGGACTTTTGTTTTAGAACACGAGATTTGTGTGCATACTTGTTCCACAGATCTGATTTATTTGCATGCAGACTGGTGGTGTCTTGCCTCTCATGCATATCCACACAGACTTTGAAGGATTCAGCCCTAATGAGTCAACTTCTTCAAGAAGTTTATTAAGAAGCAGTCAGTCTGTTCTTTTGTCCCCCAACATGGGGCACTAGAAACCATATGTGGAGGAAATGTCCCTAACAGAATCAGTGGCTACTTTCAGCTGTCATCACCAACTGCAAGCTGGATTGTTTTATCAAGTCTGTGGCTCAGGGGATCCAGCTGTCACAAGAAATTTTTTTTTCAAGTTTAGCTTTCCTAGTCTGTGACCAGCCCTAGTCTACCTACAACGCATGGATGTGACTCATGACTTTTAAGAAACAAACCTGAGCTTTTGAACTGAAATCATCATCATAATGTAGCAGGTCCTTTGCAGAACATCGCTCTCATCGCGGTCTGCCTGAAAGAAACTCGGTCTCTCGCCAGCTCTCCTGCCTCATGTACTTTCATACTCAAGGAGTCACTTATATCCTGTGCCCATCTTCGTGTTGGTCGGCCCCTGCCCCTCCTTCATGGTACCCTGCCTTCTGCTATTATTTTTTCCAATCTATCGTGGCGCTTGAACTGAAATACTACAAAAATGTTCTGAGAATACCATGGACCAAGAAGAAGAAACAAACACAGACATCCTAATGATCTGAGCAACAAGGAGAATTGGCTCATAAACAGCATCCAGAAGCTAAAGTATTCTTGCCACCTTTAACACCATGATAGCCTGGAGAGAACAGTGACTGAACGTTGCAGAGGCAGACTTCTACAAATGTGGATAGAAGAACCCAAAGATGGGCCGGCCAGGAAAGCACATAAGGCTGGAGAATTGGCTTGAGAAATAGATAACAGGAGAGCCAGGTTCTTTAAAGGATCCGCTGACTGTTGAGTTTATCTTCAAGGCACCAGGGTTGTGTCTCTCCCCTTAACTTCTCTTACATCGCAGAACCCTACCAGCAGGCAAGCCACTGTCTGTATAGCGCCTGAGATCACAGACATGCATAAGCCTCTCTGCCACACAATGGAGACACAGAAGTCGGACTGCGGAAAGGGGGGGGGGGGGGGGGAGTGTGATGTTTTATATACCTGATAATAATAGTAATGACAGAGCTGACAGATTGGCAAAGAAAGGAGCAACACAAGAACAACCACCTACAGCGACAACCCTCCAGACGGCAAAAACACTGATAAGAGCTATAAACAAAGAGACTTGGTTGAACAGATGGGCCATGGCAGACACTGGAAGAGAGGTTTATAGACATATGTCTGGCCCTGATCCTAATGACAGCATTAACCATCTAACAAGAAGGGACCAGGCCACCATCTTCAGACTTAGAACGCAACATACTCCACTCAATGGACACCTAAACAGAATACAGCCACAACACTCCCCAGAGTGCCAGCTATGTAACTACCCCTACAAAACTGTTGAACACCATCTCTTTGAGTGCCCAAAACTCAGTGAGACAAGTAGAACGCTACTCCCTCCGAGACCAGACAAGTGGAACACCTTGTACGGAGGAAAAGAACAGCTTGTGAAAACATGCAAATTCCACTACATGGCATTGGGCCAAAGGCGAAAGCTCATGCGCCGCTGGATCGATAACAACAACAACAACAATGCTTATGTTGAACAAAAATAAAAATGATAATGTTGATGATAATAATGATGATGGTGGTGGTAATGATGATAACCATGGTGATACTGAGAATGAATAATGATGGCGATGATTATGGCAATGATGATGATGATGATGATAATGGTAATGATGAGAATGATTATGGTAATAATGGTGATGATTATGGTAAAAATGATCTGATTATGGTAAGATTGATCTGATTATGGAAATGGTAGTGATGATGATGGTAATAATGATAAACATAATCATAGTGGTGGTGATGGTGAAAAACAGTGATTAATGAGGGCTATCATTATAGCACTCCAGACAGGTTCATAAGTGCTCCTGTCTCTCCAACAGCTGACAATGATTACTGACGGTGATCCTGGTAATGATAATAATGATGATAATGATGAATAATAATAACAATCTGGTAATCCTAGTTTCAGCTTCATAGCAAACGGGTCACCCCACAGATGCTCCGCTCCTGTGCCAACGAAAAACAAACGCAGCTCACAGTGTCACGCCATGCACTCAACTCAGAAGCTTGGCGACGAAACTACTGCAAACAATAATAACAATGATGAAGGTGATGATAATAACGACAATGACGGCAACGATGATGATTGAAATATGATAATGAGAGGATACCACAAAGACAAAACAAACCTCAGCATAAACTCGGCACTCGATAGCCCAGCCATCCACAGGGATGTCTGGCTGCTGGTGCAGGAGGTGATGTCCCTTGGCCACTCGGAGCATCTGATGGACCAGATCCACACCGGTGATCATCTCAGTTATAGGGTGCTCCACCTGCAGCCGCGTGTTCATTTCCAGGAAGTAGAAATGCCTGTTTTTGTCCACCAAAAACTCAACAGTACCTTTGGGAAATGAAAGAAACCAAAAATTGTTTTAAATATTCACCTGTTTAAATACTTTGGTTTCATGATCAATAACAATGGAAGCTATTCAAGAGAGGTCAGGAATGTCAAAAAATTTGTAGAATCACAGGGCTAGGAACATTCAGAATATGACATGAAACAATTTCTCTATGATAAAGATAGGAAAATCTCAGCCCCAGGAGTCTAGAGATGGAAAAAGTAAATTCTCAGACTGTTCACAGGAAAAAAAGGGACAAGGATAGGACACATCAAATCACTGACAGTGACAGCAAATCTCTGACAGTGACAGCAAATCTCTGACAGTGACAGCAAATCTCTGACAGTGTTAGCACGTCACAATTGGTGACTAATTAGGATTATGTCCTTTAAAGTTGGAGAGCTTCTACCAGAGAGGCGAGGAAAAAACAGTCTCCATACAGATAAGTCAGATCTGTAAAACATCTTCTTAACGTCCATACCGTGTGGAGTTTGGTAGTCATGTCTATCCACAACCTTCTGTCTCGTGTACTTTCAGCCAACTCTGACACAGATGATCTTCCATAGTCCATACCGTGTGGAGTTGGTAGTCATGTCTATCCACAACCTTTTGTCTCGTGTACTTTCAGCCAACTCTGACACAGATGATCTTCCATAGTCCATACCGTGTGGAGTTGGTAGTCATGTCTATCCACAACCTTCTGTCTCGTGTACTTTCAGCCAACTCTGACACAGGTGATCTTCTATAGTCCATGCCGTGTGGAGTTGGTAGTCTTGTCTATCCACAACCTTCTGTCTCGTCTACTTTCAGCCAACTCTGACACAGATGATCTTTCATAGTCCATGCCGTGTGCCGTTGGTAGTCATGTCTATCCACAACCTTCTGTCTTGTGTACTTTCAATCAACTCTGACACGGATGGTCTTCCATAGTCCATGCCGTGTGGAGTTGGTAGTCATGTCTATCCACAACCTTCTGTCTCGTGTACTTTCAGCCAACTCTGACACAGGTGATCTTCCATAGTCCATGCCGTGTGGTGTTGGTAGTCATGTCTATTCACAACCTTCTGTCTCGTGTACTTACAGTAAACTCTGACACAGATGATCTTCCATGCCATGATGTCAAACTATCCAGCATCTGTTCTCTTGCTCTCCCTCTGCCTCTCTTCCCCTTCAACTCTCCCACTGTCACGATGTACTCCAGTTTTCCCCTTCTCATCGCATAACCAAAGAATATGAACTGTCTCTTTTTGTTTTATTTGGACAGCCAGTTCTCTTCGTGAGTCAGTTTCTTTCATGATATCTTCATTACTTTTGTTTTATCTGGACAGCCAGTTCTCTTCGTGAGTCAGTTTCTTTCATGATATCTTCATTACTTTTGTTTTATCTGGACAGCCAGTTCTCTTCGTGAGTCAGTTTCTTTCATGATATCTTCATTACTTTTGTTTTATCTGGACAGCCAGTTCTCTTCGTGAGTCAGTTTCTTTCATGATATCTTCATTACTTTTGTTTTATCTGGACAGCCAGTTCTCTTCGTGAGTCAGTTTCTTTCATGATATCTTCATTACTTTTGTTTTATCTGGACAGCCAGTTCTCTTCGTGAGTCAGTTTCTTTCATGATATCTTCATTACTTTTGTTTTATCTGGACAGCCAGTTCTCTTCGTGAGTCAGTTTCTTTCATGATATCTTCATTACTTTCGTTTTATCTGGACAGCCAGTTCTCTTCGTGAGTCAGTTTCTTTCATGATATCTTCATTACTTTTGTTTTAATCTGGACAGCCAGTTCTCTTCGTGAGTCAGTTTCTTTCATGATATCTTCATTACTTTTTTTTATCTGTCCAGGGTATTCTCATCATCCGTCTTTAAAACAACATCTCTGCAGCTTCCAAATAATTTTTTACTAATCTACCAACTGTCCATGATTCACTTCCATATATCAAGATAGGATTTATATAGCTTTTAAGAATTATCTTTCTTGTCTCAGTTGACAAGGAAAGATTGCATAAAATATTCTTCATTTTGTAAAATGCTTCCTTTGCTTGAGCTATTCTATATTTTACTTCTTTAATACCTCTTCCATCTGATGTTATCAGGGTACCCAAATACTTTAACATATCAAGTTGATTGAAGATTGTAAAACATATGTGCAAGCAAAACTCAAATTCTGGATGAAGACTAAGTCCAGAAGTGGACAAACAACCAGAACTCCCCCCCCCCCCCCCCCCCCCCGAGTGTACAGCCGATGAATGCAAAGAAGAAGACACTGCGAGTAAAACTCTGATAGTGATAGCCACGACGCTGTGACAGTAACAGAAAAGGCTCTTAGAGATCTAAACAAAGGAAACTCGCCTGCCGAGTCATACCACACAGCTTCAGCCAGCCTACAAGCCTGTTCTCCCACTGCTCTATGCGTTTCAGGATCTTACAGTAACAGAAGAGCCTCTAAGAGATTTAAACAAAGGAAACTCACCTGCCGAGTCATACCCCACAGCTTCAGCCAGCCTACAAGCCTGTTCTCCCATCGCTCTGCGCGTTTCCGGATCTAAAAATATGCTGTCCAAACGAAACAAACTGTGATTTATATATTTATATATACATATATCCATATATATTTTGTACACAGATTGAATGTGGTATACATGTATCAGATCTGAGCTGCATTCAAACTTAACACTTTTGCCCCAGGAAGCCACAAAACCAACACTTTTAGTTAGTGCCATGTCCCCTTAATGGTCACTTTCCCGACTCGCTATAGTCTAGCTAAAAAAATCCATTTCATCTGCATAACCTTATAAAACTTGGAGAAGGACAACAGAAATGGAAAAAGTAGACTGGCAGAAATGGAGATAATTTATGAATGCACTATGTGTCATTTATGACACAATGCAGATCTAGTCAGACAGATTATATCTTGTCTATATCATCAGTTACACACTTCATTCCTCCGATTCTCATTTTTTTTTTTATTTTTTTTTTTTACGTATCCAGAAACCATGATTTGTAAACCCTTTGGCTCGGTACTATGGATATCGCAACCCTTCGGCCTTGATTCCATTATAGGTACCATTAATCTGGGAGAAATGTGGCTTTTCTGCCTACCCTCGGGAGTGAACCCGGACCACAAGGAGTTCGTCACCCGGCCGCCGCGAAAGTCAGGTTTAACCAACTTCGCTAGAGAGCTGGGCAAACCCCTGATTCTCATATATAATCAATGTTACCTGAAGTGAATGACGTAAAGCACTTCTTTTGTCTGTGCTCATTCAGTATTAGTTTTTATTGGAATATTTGACGTCTGCCTCAATATCAGACGAAGAAGAAGAAATCAAGATGAGGATAGCAAAAGTTGGGAGTTGCCTTGGCGGAGCGACTAGAGGCTCGCCGCGGATCGGAAGGTCGTGGGTTTGCTCCCTAGCCGAGCTGGACTAATTTTCAAAAATGACCTTGGCTCCCAGGTTGACCCAGCCTTGAGTGGGTACTGGGTGCAGTCCGGGGAAGTAAAGGCGGCCGACATCAATATAGGTCTAGCCCTATATGCCTGAAGGTGTGGGAAAAGGGTCCTTTACTTTTACTTCACTTTTACAGCAAAAATTGTTCTCTCAAGCAGGTTCTAGGCCACATTTGTGGAGGGACCCACTGCCCTTGTATCAACCGTCGTAAAATGCGACTCATTAGGGGCGTTTCCTACAGAGTCCATCCGCCTGAGAAGCAAGGAACCAACAGGCTAATTACTGATCTGCCAAAAATGATGTGCACACACAAAAATTAGGTTCTGGAACAAGACAAAGATATCTGAGAAAGGTGGTCCAAGTGACAAGAAGGGACAAAGTCTGCAATCAGACAAAACGTCAAGATCTTGATACCCAGTCCTTACAAACCCGTGTGGATCAGTCACAGTTACGATGGTTCGGACATGTATGCAGAATGGGAGAAAATCGGCCACCATGGCAGGCATGGGAGGCTAAGAACCAGGGAACCAGACCTCCGGGACGACCCAGGGTGCGCTGGGAAGACAACATCTGACAGTCCCTAACTGACAGAGGACCGGAATGGAACAAAGCCAGAAAGAAAACGGCTGACTGAGACGTCTGGCGATCTCTCTGGCAAACCTCTACACCCCAAGGTAGAAGAGGAGCGACTAAGTAAGTAACAAACAAGACAAAGGTCAGGAATTGAGTGAGCAACCAGGACTTTCTAGCGGAGTTTACAGTCGGGGGCCGCTACAAAAAAGAAGATACAAACCTTGGTGCTTCCTCAATGACTTTCTGGTTTCTACGCTGTATGGAGCATTCTCTTTCGTTGAGCCACAAGCTGTTGCCGTGTTTGTCGCACAAAACCTGCAATGACATCAATGGGATAACCACCCATGTTGTTATTTTTAATCTTGTGGGAGAGTGTCATAACGCTTAAATCTTTACAACTCAGTTCCCAGAGAGTAGTTCTTTTGTCGTCTCACTAATACCTGGTTGTAGCCCAGTGCTCTGGTGATCTGTATTTGCCTTGCGCTTCTCGGGTGGCAGATTCATTCATTTTTCTGCTGGTCTCAGCTACACAATTTATCCTTCATCAAAGGTCGGTGGCATCCACACATATCTCACCACAGCCTTTTGTCTTCTTCTTCTTCTTCAGCGATCTCTGGTCATGCGCATAATACACTGTGCCTTTTGTCTAAAACACTGTCTTGGCTCTACACACCAGGATATGTTGGTGTGAGCGGAAATCTTCTTCACACTAAACGGCTATAAACTCTGGTGGAAAGTTCAGGTTGTTCGTCCACTTCTGGACTTTAGTCTTGCTACTGAACTTGATTTTTGCCTGTAAATCTGTCAGCCTATGGATCATGCTGATATTATTAAGGCCCTCAGAGAAGTTAGTTAGTTAGTTAGTTAGTTAGTTGGGTTATCATCATTGCACTCCGGACATGTCCATAGGTGCTCAGATCCTCCCCTCAGTATGAACCCCAAAGTCCGATGACTAATAGTACCAGTTCTATGTTGATTAACAAGTCTTCTGGCGTGTCTGGTGTGCGTCTCGTTTTTTGCTATGCCGATTTTAATTCCCAAATCTGCTATTCTGGCGAGTGATGTGGATTCACTGTCACCAAAGTCCTCTGTCCTTCCCATTTCTCTGAGAACTGGTACTATTAGCCATCGGACGTTGGGGTTCATACTGAGGGGAGGATCTGAGCACCTATGGACATGTCCGGAGTGCAATGATGATAACCCAACTAACTAACTAACTAAATCTGTTTTACAGATCTGGCTTATTTTTATGCAGACTGATGGCTCCTCAGCTTTCAGGCACATGGCCTCCAGCTTTGAAGGGAACACCCCTAATTACTTTTATGACACGTTTGTTAGGGAGCTGGGGGGTCTATTCCGGCCCCCCCCCCCCCCCCCCCCTCACAATAAGGTCCCGGAACCCACACAGGAAGATAGCCAATAAACATTTCTTCAACGAAAGTGTGTGTTGTCCAACTTTTGTGAACATTTCAACTGTGTATTAACTAATCATCTATTCTACTGGGACAATTAAGGTGCCAAGTCATTACAGAGTTCCTGTCTGGACGAAGAAAACACTGCTGCAATTGCTATTATTTTCACTGGCGTAGGAACGGAGCAAGTATGGGGTGACCTGATTGCAGTGAAGTTGAAACCTCTACTAAGACCATAGGGCTATCCTCCGAATAACGGGCACATATTATGGCGGCCAAAAACAGTTTTCCGGCGACAACTGCCACCGCCGAGAGTATCTCACACACCATTCATGCGGTGTGGATTGGGGCTTAACTAGATGGCTGGGACTCACAAGCAAAGCTGCAGGAGATGCGGAAGCTGCTGCTCGTGAGTCCCAGCCATTTAGTTTAGCCCCAATCCACGCCGCATGAGCGGCGTGTGGGATACTCTCGGTGGTGGCGGTAGTCGCTGGAAAACCGCAAATTAGGTCGCCGGGAGTGCGCAATTGACACGTGACTGAGGCCCTGTTAGGGTGTTTTTGCGGCCGCCAATAATATGTGCCCGTTATTCGGAGGATAGCAAGACCATTGTTTTGTAAATACATTCTGATGCATGTCCTCTACAGCTGAAGCAAACGTATAAGCACAGCTGGAATTATTTATGCTTGTAATGGCATTAGCGATGTTTTGTTTTTCCCTTGTATGGAAACCTATGGAACACCCTGTATTTATTCATACTGGCTAATGCAGAAACAATACACATGATTTACCTGAATCTCAATATGTCTGGGATTTTCAATGTATTTCTCTATCAACATGCGATCGTCTCCAAAGCTTGATTTAGCCTCCTCCTGGGACAACCGAAAAGCCTGCCTGGTGAAAATATTTTTAGGGACACAATGTACCTGTTGTCATCTTCCACGTAAGTGTAGAGAAAAAAAAAAAGGGCTATCTAGTTAAGGTCTCATTCTCTGACATCAAGGCATAGTATCTTTCTCAGTTAACAATTTGACTCTTTCATCAAGAGAAGCTGCAAAACCGACATTTCTGGTTGGGCCCAATTCCCCCTAAATGTCATTTTTCTGACTTGTCTACAGTGACCTGTTAACCAGACACATAATTAAAGCTACTGGCTGTTGTTATCCCTGTTCAAATATTTAGGAGTTCAGCAAATGAATACATTAACTAAAAACTGCATTTAGGGAGGGGTTTTCCTTTGAGCTAAATTGCATTTTTAAAGCCAAGTTGAGGTCAAATTTTCCTGTAAGCCTCAGTGATTGAGGCCATGCATTAGTCACCGTTGCTTTATTAATATCCTACCTCAAACAGGAGAAATCCACAGGCCACGAGACAGTCTAATATTTCAAGGGGTGGTAGATAGGTTGCATGCAGTCGTGGGACCTAGGCTGCACTCTCTTGTGGGACATAGGTGGGTTGGGGTTAGGCCCAGTTTTAGATGTTTTGGGGTCGTTAAAAGCACCAGAAAGCCAGGAAACCCAGTCTTATCACCCTCTAAAATGCTGAAATGTCCTGTGACGTCTTCTGGAGTAGGATATTAATAAAGAACCTAGTCACCTGCCAGACACATAGATTTTCGAAGGACCCAGGAAATGTATCCCATTTAATGCTTCAACCCACATAGAGCAGAGAATGCTTTTCACGCTATATCAGCACCTGATCCTGTCAGTGGTGGATTATGGCCTGGGACTGCTTACCGTCTCAAATAGTCAGATGGCAAACTAGAGCGCATACAGATCGCGGCTATGCGGGTTGTTCTGGCTTGCACCAGAGACATCCCAGTGGTGTGTATGCAATACATCCTTGGTTTGCCGATGGTTGCAGGTAGGCACAAGGTGCTGCAGGCGAAGTCATATCTCAGGGTAGCTGCAGACACAGACCACCCTCTGCATGAAGCTCTGGATGCAGTTAAGGGTCAGCGGCTGATAAGAGGGAGGTCATGGATGGCTCAGGCAGAAGACACAATCAGACAGGTTTGCATCCTTGAGAATATTAGACGAGGAGAGGAGTGGATCAAAGTGCCACCTGAACAGTCAGACTTGTGTAAAGTCATAATCATGCTGAGCCGGGAATGCAGAGACTGGCCAGCAGGTGCCACAGAGGTGGAAATTCAGCAATTAATTCAAGATAATGCTCGCTCAGAGGATTTGATTATTTACAAAGAGGGTTCAGTGTCAAGAGGCAAAAGAAGTGCTTGGGGCTTCTTAGCAAAAGTTAATGGTCTACATTTGGTGCAGGAGAGTCAAAACGGACGTTTAATCAAAATGCTACTGGCACCATTAGTATCAGAACTCTTCGCTGGCTGCTGAAGATGGGGACCGAGCGTTTATGGGAATGCCCTGAGTGCTGTGATGTCGATTCTTGAATCAAATCAAATCATGCTTCAACCTGTTCACTGATTACTCTTAGAGATAGTGCAGAAGCTAGCAATGTGCCATCGAGCCTGACAGTCAAAGGTTCAAACACCTACAGAGGTGAAACTGTTTTTTTTTTTTTTTTAATTTAACTACCTAGGTTCTCAAGATTGACCCAGTACAAGGAAATGATATAGGAAATAAAGGCAGCCCTCACAGAAATTCTGAGAATACTGTGAATCAAGAATAAAATAACAACAAAATACCAACATTCTGTCGGATTTGAACCTGGAATCCTCATGCAGGTTCCAGGATCCCATTTTGGGCAGAACAAGAATACCACCGCCTACCACAACCCTCCCCCACCCCTCCACCCACCCCTTCCCAAAATATATAAAGATATAATATAAGAGAGTAATCAGTGAACAGATTGAAGCATTCAATGGAATACATTTCCTGGGGCCTTCAAAAAATATGTGTGTCTGGTAGGTGACTAGGTTCTTTATTAATATTCTACCCTAGATGATGTCACAGGACAGTCCAATATGTTCTTCTTCTTTTGTCAAAATCTGCTTGTGCCGCTAGGCGTCGCAGTCTATCAGATGATCGGCAACCGAGCCAGGGCGCGCTCAGTTGCTTCATATGCCGTGATGTTATGAAGTCTCAAGTTGACCGTGACTCCTTCAATCCATATTCTTCTTGGTCTTCCCCTGCCTCTTGTTGTTTCGATTTTCATGTTGTATGCTCTTGATGCTGGCATCGTTGGTTCCATTCTCATTAGGTGACCAAACCATTTCATTCTTTGCTTCTCAATAAATTTAACGATGGGTATGGTTCCAATAGTTCTTGTAATCACATCGTTTCTCACTCGATCTCTTCTGGTTTTATTGGCAGCCATTCTCAAACATCTCATTTCACAGGTGGTTAGTCTTCTCTCGTGTTCTTTTGTTAATGTCCAAGTCTGACATTGATAACCTAATGTCGGTATAAAGATTGTATTTATAATTTGTCTTTTTATCTCAGCTGGGACAGCAGGGTGTTTTAAAATTGGGGCAAGCTGGTATGTGACATTGTTGGCTTGTCCAATATGTTAGAGGGTGGTAATACTGGGTTTACAGGCTTTCTGATACTTCCCCCCCCCCCCCCACCCCCCTTTCCAACAAGCATTTCATGAAAGTACTAATCAGAGATGTTTCCTCCAAAGTCAGAGTACATCTGCCTGAGAAGTGAGGAACCAACAGTCTGCATACAAATAAGCCAAGATCTGTAAAACAGATGTGCACGTAAAACTAGAGTTCTAGAACAAGACTGAAGTCCACCCTTGAATTATGGGTGTGAATCATGGACAATGACAACAGCTCACAGAAGCCAGCTTCAGGCCTCAAAAATCAGATATGTGAGAAAGGAGGTCCAAGTGACAAGAAGAGACAAAGTTTGCAATCAGACAAGACGTCAAGATCTTGAAACCCAGGCCTTACAAACTCAAAATGTGTGTGTGCACAGCCATTTTACATATCTGGCTTACTTGTACACAGATTACTAGTTCCTCACCGCTTAGGCAGATACATTCCAACTTTGGCAGAAAACCCTGAATTAGTTGCCTTTTATGACATGCTTGTCTATTCTTTTTTCCCCCAAAATGGGGCCCCAGAACCCACACAGGGAATACAGCAGCGGAAACGTGAATATGAAAGAGTGGACTCGAACCCTTACCTTGCTTCCTCATCGCTACGAGCAATCCTCATACCTTTACCGCCACCTCCAGCTGAAGCTTTGATCATCACAGGATAGCCTTAAAGAGAACATGCAAAAAACTGATAAGGTGAACACACAAAAACTGATGACACATAAGGTGAACACACAAAAACTGATGACTTATAAGGTGAACACACAAAAAACTGATGACTTATAAGGTGAACACACAAAAAACTGATGACTTATAAGGTGAACACACAAAAACTGATGACTTATAAGGTGAACACACAAAAACTGATGACTTATAAGGTGAACACACAAAAACTGATGACTCACAAGGACAACACAGGAAAATACAAATTAGCTGCTTGACTCCTATTCCTGGTGCACCATTAATCACACTGGAGCATTGCTTATCTCACTGAAGCATCATTTATCACACTGGAGCATTGCTTATCTCACTGAAGCATCATTTATCACACTGGAGCATTGCTTATCTCACTGAAGCATCATTTATCACACTGGAGCATTGCTTATCTCACTGAAGCACCATTTATCACACTGGAGCATTGCTTATCTCACTGAAGCACCATTTATCACACTGGAGCATTGCTTATCTCACTGAAGCACCATTTATCACACTGGAGCATTGCTTATCTCACTGAAGCACCATTTATCACACTGGAGCATTGCTTATCTCACTGAAGCACCATTTATCACACTGAGGCATTGCTTATTTTATTGGAGCACCGCTTATCTCGCTGAAACACCATTTATCACACTGGAGCATTGCTTATTTTATTGGAGCACCGCTTATCTCACTGAAGCACCATTTATCACACTGGAGCATTGCTTATTTTATTGGAGCACCGCTTATCTCGCTGAAGCACCATTTATCACACTGGAGCATTGCTTATCTCGCTGAAGCACCATTTATCACACTGGAGCATTGCTTATCTTATTGGAGCACCATTTATCACACTGGAGCATTGCTTATTTTATTGGAGCACCGCTTATCACACTGGAGCATTTCTTATCTTATTGGAGCACCGCTTATCTCACTGGAGCATTGCTAATCTTATTGGAGCACCGCTTATCTTACTGGAGCATTGCTTATCTTATTGGAGCACCGCTTATCTTACTGGAGCATTGCTTATCTTATTGGAGCACCGCTTATCTCACTGGAGCATTGCTTATCTTATTGGAGCACCGCTTATCTCACTGGAGCATTGCTTATCTTATTGGATCACTGCTTATCTCACTGGAGCATTGCTTATCTTATTGGAGCACTGCTTATCTCACTGGAGCATTGCTTATCTTATTGGAGCACTGCTTATCTCACTGGAGCATTGCTTATCTTATTGGAGCACCGCTTATCTCACTGGAGCATTGCTAATCTTACTGGAGCACCATTTAAATCACTAGAGCACCGCTTATCTCACTGGAGCATTGCTTATCTTATTGGAGCACCGCTTATCTCACTGGAGCATTGCTTATCTTATTGGAGCACCGCTTATCTCACTGGAGCATTGCTTATCTTATTGGAGCACCGCTTATCTCACTGGAGCATTGCTTATCTTATTGGAGCACTGCTTATCTCACTGGAGCATTGCTTATCTTATTGGAGCACCGCTTATCTCACTGGAGCCCCATTTATCACACTGTAGCACCGCTTATCTTATTGGAGCACCGCTTATCTCACTGGAGCACCGCTTATCTCACTGGAGCACCACTTATCTTATTGGAGCACCCCTTATCTCACTGGAGCACCATTTAACTCACTAGAGCACTCTTCATTCTGATCAA